AAATAAAGGATATGCATGCGTAGCACACTTTAACAGAGCCTACGTTTCATCTCGTATGGCTTTTACAATCGAGTTTAAACCTTCAAGTTTTTGTATGTCTCAATCTGCATTTGTGTTTGTTTTGTAGGTTTTAAAGGCGCTGTTATTTCAGTTTACTTGTTTTGGTTTCATTTTGATCAGAAGATCGAAAAACAGGACAAGTTAAGTTTATTTCTTGCCTCAAACTGTAAGCTGCTTTACTGAAAGCTCTGCATAGGTGATGTTAAATAATCTAAATTTCAAAGATTGATTAGACTGTTCACAGTCCCTCTATTTTTTGCGCTGAAATCGTCACGCTGTCACGATCGATCGTGGAGCCACCATCTTGGATTATTTGGCGAGCGAAATCTGTGGAGAGGACAAAACTCGTACCAGAGGAGTTTTGTCCTCTCCCCAGATTTCGCTCGCCAAATAATCCAAGATGGCGGCTCCACGATCGATCGTGACAGCGCGACGATTTCAGCGCTAAAAAATAGAGGGACTGTGAACAGTCTAAAGATTGATTGCATGACTCGCGTGACTAATAATTACATGTTCGTTGGAGTGTCAAGGGCTAAAAATAGGTCACGCGATTTAAAAAGTCACGGAATAAACGTCCACCGGAAGTAACTGAGTTGAGTTTTCAGGTGGTAGAATCGATCTGCTGAACTTTATCTTTCTTTTTTTTCTTTTTTTCTTCAGGAAAAGCTGCTGTTGTTGTCGCATATTGATGCTTGTTTCATTGTGATTACCCAACAAGATTGGTGAGTACAAGCATGTTACTGTTTTATGATTATTATTGTTTTGAGGTGCTTTGGCCTAATGCTTTTTTTTCGTTCGTGAGCCTGGTGGGGGGGGGGGGGGAGATAGCCCCCCCCCCCCCCCCCCTATGTATCTCGAAAAGTATTGACGCTATGAAAATGAAACTTACATGGTGTGTAAAATAAAAGCATCCGAAAATCTTTATTTTAGTGGCAGTCACGTGTCAGTTATGACGTCATACACGCCATAATGACATCATACATTAAAAACATCCGCCATCTTGGTACCCTGCGAGCAGTTGGTTTATCTGCGTCGAACGCTACGCTACGAACGGGAGAGAAACCACTGCAAGCAACCGTTCGCTTTTCCATCGAGCATGCGCGTCTACATCACGCCCCACGTGATGCAATTGACGTCACTTGCCTTGGACGCCATGTTGATTTCTACATAGCGGGCTTGCAAGTTCGCAGCAGTTATGTGAGTGAGTGCATGCGTGAGAGCCCAAACAAGTTAAAAACGGGTTTCACCGGTTCAAAGTTAATTTATTCGTCCATGGCGCTGGACGGCGGCTTGTTCAAAGGGACGAACGGTTGCTTGCAGTGGTTTCTCTCCGGTTCATAGCGTAGCGTTCGACGCAGAGAAACCAACTGCTCGCAGGGTACCCTCTTGGATCCTAAATCTTGGATTTCTAAATTGTTCAGAAATGTCAGAAAATCTCCAAATTTGTTTTGAAAAAATCAAGACAACTATAAAAATGCTAAAACGGCAAAGACTTTGAAACACTTCATCGTAAAAAGCAAAAATTTTATGAAAACTGAAAATTAAGCTAAAAAAAACAACAAATTTTGGTAAAACGATCTGTATCTCGAAAAGTATTTGTGGCTATAAAAATGAAACTTATGTGGTGTATAAAGCATTCAAACATGTTTATTTTAGTGACAACTACGAATCAATTATGATTTCATATCACGCCAAAATAACGTCATACTTTAAAAATGTCCGCCATCTTGGATCCGCCATCTTGGATTTTTAAATTGTTCAGAAATGTCTGAAAATCACCAAATTTGATTTGAAAACATCGAAAACAATATAAGGATACACAAATTGCAAAGATTTTGGAGGAAACTATTGGTAGAAAGCGAAAATCTCATGAAAACTGAAAATTAAGCTGCAAATACCAAATTTGGCTAAAATGACCTGTCAAAACGTGGTTGCCATGGAAACATAAAGTCACGTGATCAAAAAATTGACAGGCCAAAATGTTCCTAGATAATGTTTAGGAAAAGTCATAAGGTTTTGCTATGATTGTATGAATGCTCTTTAAGTACGATAAATATGAAATCAGCGCGGGCAGTTTCTGCGCTCCCCCCCACCCCCCAGGCAGGATAGGGTTAAACTCCGGATCGAGCGAGCGGTCCGGGTTCGAGTCCTGTCCGGGGAAAATTGTGTTGTGTTTTTGGGCACAGGAACAGGAACGGCTACTCAATAATTTTTACTCCAAGTTTGTTTATCAATCGAATTTATATGGGAAGTGACTTTGTTGGACGTTTATAACAGTGCGGGTCATTTGTGAAAAAAAAAACCCGGCTTTATTAAATCCGGTATCAACATTAGGAACATGAAAGACGACTCAAGAATTTCTCAAAGTACGATCAACATATGCATGGTTTACTTTTCATTGTAGACGTGAAGACTTAAGTCTGAAAATAATTTGCCGATCGATATTGCGAATTTTCCAGGCGGCTGAATTGAAAAATGAGCAAGAGAAGATTTTAGCTACAAAAGCGAGGTGGTTTCAGATCATTCGACGAAAAATTGGGGAAAACAGTACATCAATTTCCAATAAAGAGCGCTACAATTTATTACAAACATTGTGTTGACATTGTACATTTGGTATTTGCTTAGAATTTCCGACTACAGATTTGCATCAATTATAAATTATTTCATGTAAAGAACCTTTCCTGTTCTTGTTAAGGAAACAGTTGAAAACATATTTCCTTTTTTCAACGCCGTGAATAAGCGGCGAATATATTTTTTTACTGTGAAGTCTAAGAAGCATATCGAATCGAATATGTGTCAAATTGCAGCGCAATGTCACGCAACGCGTTCAGTCAGTCGTTCGTCGAAAACAAGACCGTCAACAGTAAAGGGGAGATGTCGGAAGACCAGCGAATTCATATAAAGCCTGGTTATCACCCTCACACCCCAACAATAATTAATCCCCATCACAGATTCCCGAGGACCCATGCGAGTCACGTATTACGCATTCATTTTGTATCGACTTTATCAGCCAATGAAAAATTCGATTTTTTCCTTGCGACCACAGGGCTACACGTTTCCGGCGCAAAGAAAAAAACGAGGAGCTCTGGGAACGAGGATGGCGAGAGAACCTGCACCTGGCGAATGTTTCGTTCTTTCAGTTTCCAAAGCGAACTGAACTGAACGTCGTGGTAAGTAAACCTTTTGTTGTCTGTTCTCGATCTCTACCAGTTTACAATATAACTGATCACAACACAACATAACTGAAAAATCAAACAAAGCGGTAATGGCAAATCCGATAACATAGAGAGCTGTTTGGTGATGCGATGCTCGCCCATTCTCGTGTCTGTTTTGAAAAGGCGGAAGTATGAAATTGATCAAATCGTACAAGTACAAGTTCATCAAATGAATACAAATGGTAACTTGATGGTCTCTCGTGTCTTGAGGTAGAGATGAAGAATTGTAACAGACCATGATAGGAAGCAAAAATGTAAATTCGGCAACAAATTAAACACGGAAATTATGATCGATGATCGAGGACTATCCTATCTGACCATTTGAGACAAAAATAAAGTTCGCAAATAAAGGATATGCATGCGTAGCACACTTTAACAGACGCCTACGTTTCATCTCGTACGGCTTTTACAATGTACATCGAGTTTAAACTGACTTTTTTTTAACTGACTTTTTTATGACTCAATCTGCATTTGTGTTTGTTTTGTAGGTTTTAAAGGCGCTGTTATTTCAGTTTACTTGTTTTGGTTTCATGTTGATCAGAAGATCGAAAAACAGGACACGGTAAGTTTATTTGTTGCTTCAAACTGTAAGCTGCTTAACTGAAAGCTCTGCCTCGTCGTAATCGTAAGAAAATAAAAGTCACGATGTAAACGGTAATATGAAGAGCATTGCGAGTGGTGGTTTTCATGTTTTAGCTCGTAATTTAGTAGTTCTCAATTGAGTGTCGTAAAACCAAGACCAAGCAATTACAATGGCCAATCACAACCAACGAAAACGAGAAAATGAATTAACCAATGGGAACTCGAAGCAAATACACGTAAATGGCGACGCGTTTGACCAAAGTAGCGATCCGTTTTGGATTTGCATCTGAGTGGTTTGGCGCGAGTTATTTTTAAACCAATCACAGAGCGTAGTAAAGCAAAGTCAAAGCAATTCAGTGATTACTTTCGACACTCAACTGAAAATCGCTCTATAAGAGTAGGACTATAGTGAGCTCTTCCATCTTCTCCCATTGTCTGACTCAATGGAGCCTGAAATAAATAATAATAATAATAATCAAACCAAATCAACCAAAAAAACTAGTAACTGGTAATAATTAATATTACAAACACGGAAATTATGATCGATGATCGAGGACTATCCTATCTGACCATTTGACACAAAAATAAAGATCCCAAATAAAGGATATGCATGCGTAGCACACTTTAACAGAGCCTACGTTTCTTCTCGTACGGCTTTTACAATACATCGAGTTTAAAATTTTTTGTATGACTCAATCTGCATTTGTGTTTGTTTTGTAGGTTTTAAAGTCGCTGTTATTTCAGTTTACTTGTTTTGGTTTCATTTTGATCAGAAGATCGAAAAACAGGACACGGTAAGTGTATTTCTTGCTTCAAACTGTAAGCTGCTTAACTGAAAGCTCTGCATAGGTGATGTTAATTAAATAATCTAAATTTCAGAGATTGATTGCATGACTCACGTGACTAATATATCGCATGTTCGTAGGAGTGTAAATAAAGCCGCTCAAAGTAGGCCACGCGAGAAAAAAACGGGGGAAAAAAGTCCGCCGGAAGTAACTGTGCTTAATTTTTGAGGTGGTAGAATCAATCTACTGAACTTTATCTTTCTTTTTTTTTTCAGGAAAAGTTGCTGTTGTTGACGCATATTGATTTTTGTTTCATTGTGATTACCCAACAAGATTGGTGAGTACAAACCTGTTTTGAGGCTCGGTGGCCTAATGGCTAGCGTGTTGGACTCCGGACCGAGCGGTCCGGGATGGAGTCCTGTCCGGGTCACTTTATTTTGTTCTTCGGAAATATACTTCACAGTGCCTCTCTCCACTTAGGAGTATAACGGCTACCTGCGACAAAATACTGGTGCTGGACTAGCATCCCACACAGGATAGTAGCTATACTCCTATAGTCGCTTTATAATACGGAAATCGGGATAATCTCCGGCGGTGTGGGTCAGTTTGGTCGTAGTACTTTTTTGAGCCTGAGAATATTGTGGTCATTTACATTTGATTTTTACTGAAGAATAAGCTGGAAATAACAATCACTCATCACACAATCAGGTTTGACGACCACATTTTGCAAAAGTCAGACTGTGCTTGGACATCAGGTCCACTGCTTTAGTACAATGAATGAGAATAATAGACCCTTTGCAGAACCGTGTCACGTGACCTTCTCAAGCATACAAAAAAGATGGTTGTACGAATTTGGTGTCAGAAGTGGAAAGAATGTAAAGAAATTAGTAAGGATAAAATATATTATAAAAGTTCCATAATCTATACGTAATAGTCGTCGTAATCGTCATCCGGGTTATTACATTGTAATAGCTGTCGCCGAAGAACTATAATTGGATAATTCCTATACAACATCAGAGTCCAGTACTTCTCGCAGCCGTAATCCCCGTAAAGCCTTCCGATATTATGCATGGAAAAGGATGCTGGATGGCAAGCCTTGCATGATTGATATAAGGTCACGTGGCAGGTTTCTGTAAAAGATATACAGTTGAACCTCTCTACAACGGCCACCTTGGGGCCGAAATAACTGGCCGTTGTAGAGAGGTGGCCGTTGTAGGGAGGTTCAATTAGAGTAAAGTTTATGTATTGGTGTACGGTTGGGACTGTATTGTAATGTCTGATAACATTTAAAATGTGTTACTTTGTATTTCTTTTTATCAGGTTTACAGAAAAGAGTATCATGGACAGCATAGATGAAATTGTAGAAGCCATCTTTATAGCCTTAGTTGTTGCTACCTTCCTTCTCAACACCGGTCGCAGTCTGAAGGCAATCGAGTTATGTAATGAATGTTTAATTATCCTAAATGATAAACGGCAGGGAATGCAAGAAGAATTGGCCAATATCTTTTGTTTGCGTATCTATTATAAAATGTTCAGGGCGTACTCTGTAATCGCTGATTACACAAATGCAATCCAATACGGGAGTAAAGCTCTTGTCTTATTGCCCGAATGTAGTGAAAAAGCCAGTGTTGCCATAGAAATGGCAGAAATATATCGGAGTCAAAATAAACATATAGAGGCAAAAGAACTTTATGAGAGAGCAATCAATATCTTGAAAGAAATTGGCGACAGTGAAGGAGAAGCAGGTGCTTATGGAAAACTTGGAACTATGCTGTATGACCTTGGAGAATTTGTCAATGCTAAAGAATATCACGAGAAAGCATTGGTGATCAGAAAAGTAATTGGAGACAGACGAGGAGAATCAATATGTTACGGAAACCTAGGAAATGTGTTTGCATCTCTCAGTGAATATGTCAAGGCTAAAGAATATTACGAGAAAGCACTTGTGATCAAAAAAGCCATCGGTGACAAAAAAGGAGAAGGAACATGTCACGGAAACCTAGGAACTGTGTTTCATGCTCTCGGTGAATATCTCAAGGCTAAGGAATATTTCGAGAAAGCACTTGTGATCAGAAAAGCCATCGGCGACAGAGAAGGAGAAGGAGCAGATTACGGAAACCTCGGCAGTGTGTTTTATTCTCTCGGTGAATATATCAAGGCTAAGGAATATTTCGAGAAAGCACTTGTGATCAGAAAAGCCATCGGCGACAGAGCAGGAGAAGGAGCAGATTACGGAAACCTAGGCAGTGTGTTTAATTCTCTCGGTGAATATCTCAAGGCTAAGGAATATTACGAGAAAGCACTTGTGATCAGAAAAGCCATCGCCGACAGAGCAGGGGAAGGAGCAGATTACGGAAACCTAGGCAGTGTGTTTTATTCTCTCGGTGAATATCTCAAGGCTAAGGAATATTACGAGAAAGCACTTGTGATCAGAAAAGCCATCGGCGACAGAAAAGGAGAAGGAGCAGATTACGGAAACCTAGGCATTCTGTTTCATTCTCTCGGTGAATATCTCAAGGCTAAGGAATATTACGAGAAAGCACTTGTGATCAGAAAAGCGATCGGTGACAAAAACGGAGAAGGAACATTACGGAAACCTAGGAAATGTGTTTTCTTCTATCGGTGAATATCTCAAGGCTAAGGAATATTTCGAGAAAGCACTTGTGATCAGAAACGCCATCGGCGACAGAGCAGGGAAGGAGCAGATTACGGAAACCTAGGCAGGGTGTTTCATTCTCTCCGTGAATATCTCAAGGCTAAGGAATATCACGAGAAAGCACTTGTGATCAGAAAAGCCATCGGTGACAAAAAAGGAGAAGCAACATGTTACGGAAACTAGGGAACTGTGTTTCATTCTATCGGTGAATATCTCAAGGCTAAGGAATATTTTGAGAAAGCACTTGTGATCAGAAAAGCCATCGGCAACAGAAAAGGAGAAGCAGCAGATTACGGAAACCTTGGAAGTGTGTTTTATTTCAATCGGTGAATATCTCAAGGCTAAGGAATATTTCGAGAAAGCACTTGTGATCAGAAAAGCCATCGGCGACAGAGAAGGAGAAGGAACAGATTACGGAAACCTAGGCAGTGTGTTTCGTTTTCTCGGTGAATATCTCAAGGCTAAGGAATATCTCGAGAAAGCACTTGTGATCAGAAAAGCGATCGGTGACACAAATGGAGAAGCAGCATGTTACGGAAACCTAGGAACTGTGTTTATTTCTCTCGGTGAATATCTCAAGGCTAAGGAATATTTCGAGAAAGCACTTGTGATCAGAAAAGCCATTGGTGACAGACAAGGAGAAGCAGTAGATTACGGAAACCTTGGAAGTGTGTTTCAATCTCTTGGTGAATATGGCAAGGCTGAAGAAAATATCGAGATGGCACTCTCTATAAGTAAAGATATCGGTGATCGTCAAAAACGAGTTCTCCTGCCTTTGCAAACTTTCATTCGTGAAGTTATCCCAAAGAAAACCAATCCAGGAAGTATCCC